CTTTTTCGTGGTCTCTCGGGCTTTAGGGGGGCTAAAATGCACCCATGCGGGCGAGAGCAGTCAATTTCAAGAGACACCTGTAGCCTGACAGTCGGCTAGCTCTCCAAGAGCTAGGTCTCGGCATGGCTGCCCCTCCTGATCCAGCGGAGCTAGCAAAAGGTTCCACGGATTTCCGCTATCTTTTGACCCAGAATCGGGTACCGGATACATCCCAGGCAACCTTGTTCAAGGCCGGGATAGACACGATAGCGAAGTTTTCGGCGAGTTTCAAGGACGACGAAGCCGATCTGAAATCGGTGCTAGCGAAAGACTTCTCGATAGAGCCGGAAAGCAGCCTGCCTAACAGTGCGCTAGCGGCTGCCTTTGTGGTGGCCTGGAGAGCGGCCCAGGCTCGGACCCGCGAGCAAGCGGATAGAGAAGCGGCTAGCGAAGTCCGGGAATGGGCTAAGCCCATCCCCCAAACTGAGTACATGGCTATGCGCCAGTGCTTTGCACAGAAGTTTGGCGAGCCCGAGGATAAGCATATTCCGGCGAAGGAATACATTGAGCGAAAGCTGCACGAGCTAGAGACGGGCGAGTTCAGGGCTGAGCCCCTGAACGAGGTGCTATCCAGAGACGAGATAGACCCAGATGTGCTGGTCCCTCAGTGGGAAGCAAAGGCACCGCCCTTATGCTCAAGAAGGCTACCTCGAAAGGAGCTATGCCATCAGGCCCGGAGCAGCTTCGGCTCAGGCTAACGGTTATGCAGAATGCCCTCTTGATGATCGGCTTGCAGCACCCAGGGCGATCGGAGCTGAAGGATATCGACTTTCAGCTCTTCGAGAAGTATAAAGACTATCTGCTCGGCGATTTCTGCTATGGGCTACGCTCCAACGAGGCTAGCGGATCCTTGGCTCCCCCATGGACCCTGGTGCTATCCTACGAGAATGCTATCCGGAACATTTCACGACACCGCTAGGGCTCTGCGCCAAGAGGCCGCAACCCTGGTCGTGGGATAACAACCTGCCGGATAAGCCCAACAAGAAGGGCAAAGGCAGAGGCAAGGGCAAGAACGGCAAGGATAGCAACAAGAAGGCGAAGACTGGCACCTTCAACCGCACCGAGGATAATAAGCCGATTTGTTTTCGATTTAATTTGAAAGGTGGCTGTAAGAAGGGGGATAAGTGCCACTTCGTGCATGTTTGCACGAAGGCGAGCACTCGGCCATCAACTGCCCGGGCGCGGCTACCCCATCGACGGCGGCTAACTGACTTCCTGCGCCACCGTTGGCGACTCCACCTCCGGCTACCCCGGCTCCGCCTCTTACCAACCGCCGGCTACAAGTCTTGTACCTCTTTTCGGGCCGGGAGAGACAGGGAAGCTTCCAGTGGCATCTCCGACGGCTAGCTTCCACTTTCGGAGTCGATGTGGATATATGCTGCGTAGATCTGGCGAGAAGTCCTTCGACTGACTTGGCTACCTCCAAGGCGAGATCCAAATATCTCACTATGGTCCAGTCGGGCTCCTATGACATCGTGGCTATGTCCCCACCGGTGGCGACCTTCTCACGGGCTACCTGGGCTAACCGCAAAGGTCCCCGGCCCGTCCGCAGCTTCGGCGAGCCACGCGGCCTGGCTAAGCTCACCTCAAACGAGAGAGACCGGGCTATCCTTGGCAACATTTTTGCTGATTTTTCTTTTGAAGTAGCTAAAGTGGCCCTCGCCTCGGCTACCTTTCGTCTTGGAGCAACCAGAAGATCTTGGGGCTATGCCGGCGGGACCCCACCAGGGGCAACGCCCGGCTAGCGTGTGGCACTGGCCGGCTCACACACAGCTCACCAGCCAGGGGCTACGTTCAGTGGCACTTCACCTGGGTAATTTTGGTGCCACTTCGGCTAAACCGACACGGCTGTTGCTCAAGACTCCGTTGAAGATGCCGGCTACGGTGCACGAAGGCCTCCCTTCTTTTGACGACACAGGCGGCTACTTGGGGCCGCTCCCGCCTTCGACTGCACCCGCGGCTATTCAAAGCCCCATGCTGGCTAAGGCTGCTCTCGGCGAATGGCCTTCCAAATTCGCTCGTTGGCTAGCGCAACGGCTACCTGCACGGCCACTGCTGCGACTGCCTCCGGAGAAGGGGAACAACCGTTGCAGGATACAATGGATTCCGCAGACCTGGGCTACGTCACGAACCAACCAGAGGGTCCTCGGCTACATGGTGGCCAGGGACCTCCGAGGCGCTGTTACCAGAACGATGGGATAAAGGAGTTCCACGATGGTGGCGGGCTATGCTCCCCGGGCGCTGGCCGAGGCATGCTCGTGGCCACGCCAAGGGAGAGTCTTGGAACTGGCTACGAGCTATATCCGGGAGATCGTGGTCCGGCGAGCGGGCTCCGAACAGGAGCTGGAGAAGGAGGCCTTCCGTGTGGCTATGGGGGGCGAATCCGGATGCAAGCTGGTCATGAGGAGCTCCTGCAGCTGCTGCAGACCTGGATAGAAGGCCAGGACCTCAGTGAGCCCAACCTGCTAGAAGTACCACCGGGACAACCCCTCCAGCTACGGCTACTACGGGCGATCCTCGAGGCTGCTGGCGATCCGGATAGAGACTTCTTACGCCGAGCCGAGGAGGGCCTACCTCTGGGGATACTGGAAGGGCTTCCGAGAACCCCACATGTTTTCGAGGAGCAGACGTCCTGGAGCTAGACGATACCGTGGGAACCCGCGCTAGCCTGGGTGCCGAACTATTCCTCGGTGGGCGACCATCGGGACTTCGTGCGGGCTAAATTCGACGAGGACGTCGAAGAGGGCCTCATGGAGAAGATGACCCTCGGCGAGTTCAAGGCGAGATTTGGCGAGTACCGGGCGATCGCCTCCCTGGCCGTGATAGTCGAGGACGAGGAGAAGGACAAGAAGAGGATAATCCACGATGCGACCCACGGTGTCAGGGTGAATCACCGGATACCCTGTAGAGATAAGATTCGAGCCCCGGGGGCTAGAGAGAAGAAGCAGATCCTTCGCGAGCTGATCCGATGTGGCGAGATCGCTTTCTCGGTGGTCGGGGAAATTCGAAGGCACACCGGCGATACAAGCACCAGGCTAGTGAACATGGCTACATGGGCTGCCAAATAGACACCGAGGAGACGATCCCCGGGGACCCGGATAGCCAGATCGTCTATGTCAACAAGGTGGGCACCTTCGGGCTCTCTCCTGCGAGCTATTGGTGGACGAGGATAGCCGCATGTGGGCTACGGGCCACCCATCATCTGTTGGGCCCCGGCTACCCCATCGACCTCCTGCTATACGCCGATGACCTCGAGGCCCTAGGGATAGGGACGGAAGGGAGGAAAGGGATTCCTCTGAGTTACCTCCTCCTTTCTGTCCTGGGATATCCCTTCAAGTGGGCGAAGACTCGTGGTGGCTATAGAGTGGAGTGGCTGGGGATGGAGACAGAGTACTCCTCCCACAGGCTAGGGATGTCGAAGAAGCGATCATCCTGGCTATCGACCTGGCTAAATGACAAGGTGACCTCGGGCAAGGTGACCGCCAAGGAGATGCAGCAGGGACTCGGAAGGCTAGGATTTGCCGCCATTGCTCTCGACTGGCAGAGACTTTTCTGGGTCCGCTCCATGCATGGAGTGCGGCTATCCAGGGGAAATCTGGATACCTCATCATTCCGACGATGCTACGGGTCTTGATGCGATGGCTAGCCGACAAGCTCGACCAGGGGGAGAGACTACAACGACCAGTGACCAACGGACGCTAAAGCCAAGTCCGATAGGGCCTGGATAGGGGGCTTCCTGGAGAAATGGAGAAATCCGAAGGGAAGCCGGGACCCTGGTTCTCGCTAGAAGTGGATAAGGCCTGGGCTCCTTGGGCCTTCTCGAAGGGGGACCCCAAGAAAGTGATAGCTGCGCTAGAACTGCTATATAGCGACCCTCGTGGGGATACGTCTCTGGGTCCCCGAGGGCGAGGATAGAAAGACCTCGCGAGTGGCCATCCGTGGATACACGGATAACAAGTCCAATGAGGCACTTGTGAAGAAGGCTATGACGACCAAGTATCCATCCATGCTAATTTTAATGGAGGTAGCCGAAGAGCTATCCCAGAAGAACTGTGAGCTACAGCTCCAGTGGATACGGCGAGACATCAACCAGCTAGCAGACGACCTCACCATGAGGAATTCAAGGAGTTTGACCCCGCTCAGAGGATAGATCTGAAGGGGGAAAACTTCGAGTGGCGAGTCCTTGGCCGGCTACTCGCGCATGCAGATAGCTTCTACAAGGAGCTAGGCATGCGAAAGCGAGGGACTCCGGATAGGATGTCGAAGTTTAGCCGAAAGGCCAGGAAGCTGGATCCCTGGTAGCCTGAGTGGCGCTGCGTGGGGATAGATAGCCGAAGGCTATCGGATATCTCCAGGCAACCTGGGATAGTTGCCACTTCAGACAAAAAGTCCGTCAGTGCTAGCTGAGTGTGTTTGCCTTGTTTGGTTGTCGCTCGGCTAGCTCGCAAGTTAACTACGACTCTTACTGCTATCGTCCGGGTGGAGTGGTGTACAGGGGATGGCGGTGGATATAGGAGCTAGCGCACGTACCTCGTGACGAGGAACGAGTTACGAGTATGTGTGCTAGCTAACCTATTTGCTAACGAAGCTATTGAAGGTAGCTTCGCTAGAAACGGAGTTTCGATCGCTATCGTCGCTCGCAGGATAGTTGCGTCTGACATGCGAAGACAGGATAGCTGTGACTTGGAATGGCTACGAGCACCCGCCCTGCCCACCCTGGGGATAGATAGCCGAAGGCTATCGGATATCTCCAGGCAACCTGGGATAGTTGCCACTTCAGACAAAAAGTCCGTCAGTGCTAGCTGAGTGTGTTTGCCTTGTTTGGTTGTCGCTCGGCTAGCTCGCAAGCTAACTACGACTCTTACTGCTATCGTCCGGGTGGAGTGGTGTACCGGGGATGGCGGTGGGATATAGGAGCTAGTGCACAACTGGTTTCTCCTGCCAAGGAGCTCACTCCCCCGATGATCAGGAAGCTTCTCGCGTTAGCATCTGAGGGTGAAGATTTGTCCAAGGTGGAAGCCTCAGCTCGCCTGACAGAGCTGGCGAAGCAAGCAGAGCAGCGATGTGCTTCGGCCCATCCAACGCCTGCTGCGCCAGCTGAGGCGCTAACTATGCAAGCAGATGTTGGGAAGCCTTTCTTTAAGGTTCAGCAAGTGGCAGAAGCTCGGATGGCTATCCAAGCCTTGACTGCCGCCATCGCTGAAGCCGCTAAGAAAGCTTCAGGAGGTCAGCAGGCTTTGCAGATGCACGTGAAGTTCGTGCATCCTGTAGGCAATGCAGCGCAGCTTCGGGCTAAGATCGAGGCATTCAACGGGGCTCCGGGGCCTAAGGTGGTTGTGCAGCCATTGGACGAGGAAACATGGCTGAAGCCTTCGGCCTCAACTTGGTTTGCCGAGAAGAAAGGAGATGCTCGGAATTGTGTATTTCGGCTCAACATCCCGAGTGAGGGTGCCTCCCGTAAGGCTCAGGTCATCTCTTTTCAAGTTGTTGTAGGAAGCCGTGAGTTGACTGTAAAGTCCTCTAAGGCTCTCTGCTCAAAATTTGCCGGCAACCTTGTCATGCAGTTTGGCCCTCACTCGAATGTTAGCGTGCCTAAAGTTGCGTCTGTTGGTATTGATCTCGATGCGTTCCGGGGCACAAGCGCCTGA